TTACATTAACAAAAATAAATTAATAAAAATAATGAGATTTTTTGATTTTGTAACTCCCAATTAATAATAGGGGAGTTACATAAAAAAGAAAATTACCTAAATATTCTTTTCCCCTTTGTTTACATATGTTTTTTGAAATTGTAAATTTAAAAATTTAATTTTTTTATCATGATTAATCACAACCCTTTATTGTAAAGAATCAATGGCCAAAATTGGTTAACAAAGTTAACACAAAAATCTTGGTTAGTATTTGAACCAAACTCTCTATGTATATATATATATATATATATGGGTTTAGGTTCACATGAGATCAGTTTTTTATGTGAGACCATTGATACCATTTTACACTTGAAATTTTACAACAAAATATTGTGAAGATAAAAAAGACCACATTTTCACACTTGAAATTTCATAACAAAGTATTGTGAAGCTAAAAAAAATTTGAACCTTCACAGTAAAAACATTATGAAAGTTACCTTCACAGTTTTTGCAAGTGGTCTTACGGGTCACACGAAAACAACATGGTTTCACATGATGCCAAGTCTCTCTCTCTCTCTCTCTCTCTCTCTCTATATATATATATATATATATACACACACACACACACACTATGGGTTAAGACCAATGGTTTTTGTCGTGAGACCCGTAAGACCAATTTATGTTCATTGATCAACTTTATAAGCTAATGATCTAATGGTCTAAAGTTGCACGGTGACAATTTTGGTGATTATTGAGAAGTCTCGTGGCAATTTTATGATTATGAATGTTCAGATTGTAGATCTAATACAAAGGTTGAGAATTAGTCTTACGGGTCTCACGAAAAACCCTTGGTCTCACATGATCCCAAGTCCACACACTATATTATAAAACATTTAGAATAAACTCTTAAAAACTACATTTTGTCATCAATTACCATTATTAATGCATGTTATTTAAAATTCAGATTATAAGTTGATTAAACATAAATACAATTTATTAAAGCTCTATGTTGGATTCGTGTAAATAATTGCAAATAAACATAACAAATACTAGATAAACATATGAGATGGAACAATTATTTTTATTTGCTAAAATATCTAAAATTTTAAAACTCTCCATATAACTAAGTGATAAACACAAGAAAACGCAAGATAAAACTACGAGATGGAACACTTATTTTTATTTGCTAAAATATCTAAAATTTTAAAACTCTTTATATAACTAAGTGATAAACACAAGAAAATCCAAGATAAAACACCTACATTTTTTTTATTAAGGTAGATTATCTCTTTAATTTTAAATATATAAAATATCATGAATATAATTATCATTTAAATTAAACGATCTTTGAGCTCTAACAAAAATACTCTATCATTATTTTGTAGAAAATCATAATTAAATTAAAATAATATACATTTTATTTTAAATTTAAATTGTGATAAAAATTAAATCAAATAAATTAACTAGGAATTTCAGAAACTAAAACCAAATAATATCCAAAATACAAAAACCGAACAACGTAATTCGCTCTAAAAAATTATGTTACAATGTTTAAGTAAAAAGTTATAAAACTCGATAAAAACGTTATTTATTTTGTTGGTCCCTTAAATAAATATAAATTGTTTATTTCTAAGTTGCATAAAAAGCAAATCACAATTGTTTTAGTACGTTGAAAACCAAACCATTTGATTCGAATATAATTTAACACCAAATTTCTTTTATAGTGATTATAAATTTAACTGAACGTATTATTTACATACAACTTACTGATTCAAATATTTTTTAGAAATAATGGCAAAATAAGATGTACAAAAATGATACCATTAATGTTTTATAACAAACAAATAATCTAATAAGATGTATATTTGAATTGCACGAAAGATTGGAGCCTAAATTTATGTGAAGAACACCCGGATTTTCTGCTAACTTGGCCACTTAAAGTGAAATATTCAGACCATCTCCGATCCTATCACCAAAATCTAGCAAATTTGTGGGAACATAGACACCAAAAATTTGCTTCATTTCCAAACACACGACATATTTGCTATTTGAACATGAAAATATAACACACACACACACACACACACACACACACACATATATATATATATATATATATACACACACACACATATATGTACCATTTATGTCTCATCTTCAACAAAATGTCTTTTTTTTGTTTGGCGGTTGGAATTTCCATATCTGTCAAGATGGTGTTTTTGATGTGTGGTTGGAAATGTTCTTAGGGTGCGTTTGGTATCCAAATAGGATATGAGATGACATAATAGGACAGAGCAGAACAAAACATGACAAAACAACTTTTCAGCGTTTAGTAATACAGAACTGGACAAAACAAAACAATCAAAATGACCAATTTATCCATAATAATTCATTTATATATTTTGATTAACTTATGTAATTTATTAAATTATAATAAATAATTATCTTTTCATAACAAAATATATCATTAGAAAGTATTCGTCAAAACAATTAAAATGATACCAAAATAAAAAGTTTATGTAGTTTCTAATTTCTATAGTATCCCTAATCTAAATTATTTTTATTATTAACATACAATAAATTAATAAAAATATAGAAACCGTTTTAAAGCAAAATTTTGAAGACAGTAAAATGAAAATTTTAAAAAGCTTATATACAATAAATATAATTTAATATATGAATAAAATGTAAAAATGAGATCTTTGATGTTTTAGAAGACAATTAAAAGGTTGTGAAAAAGGGACGTTATTAAAAAAATAGAATGTCGAATTATCAAAAAAAAAAAAAAAACTCATCTCTAAAATAAATAAAAAACACTGAGTAGGTTGACAAACATTAAGCAAGTTGCATGACGATTTGGAAATTTGAATTTGATTTTGATGGATTTCAGAGTTTTTCCAATTTATAAAATACGATCAATTGAGAAATGAAAATTAAAAACATAATATCCTGGACAAACATTTTTTTTTTAATTGAGTCAGAATAATTTAGCCAAGGACATGAAATTAAATATAACTAACACGTGCGTATTTTTTGTGGTCGGTTCGGTTCAGGCTGTTCAAAAAAATGTTCAACAGCAGACCAGACTAGACCAAACGGTTTGACTCTTTTTTAGACCAGATCGGACCACTAAACCACTCAAACAGCAAAAAACTGTCTAGTTTGATTTTGTTCGACCGGTTTGGGCGGTCAAATGGTTTTTTTCAACACTCTCATATCAAACAATGCATAATTCATACTTATGGGTAAATCGGTCAATTTTGTCATCAGACTGTTGATTCAGATAAAAAAGTAAACAACACCAATTTATTCAAATTGACAAATTTAATCCATACATGACTTAATATAAAATTTGGTAAACACTCGTAAGTTTTATTTTGAGGTTATATTGGTAAAATATAAATTTGTTTCATCCTGTTCCATGGGGTAGTGGTGGAACACGCATGTTCCACTTTGTTCCACATAACAGTCCTATCAAACGTGGAATATGGATTTTTTTTGTTCTGTCATAGTTGGTGATTTGAGTGTCATTAACCATTTGTTGTAATTGTGATTTATTTGAGATTGATTGAGGTGATGAGGCAAACATACGTGAGTTATGAAGTGCGAAGTGCTCACTCACAAATGTTGTCCCTATTGCCATAGATCGCCATAAAGCGGACGGTGAAAGGGGCCGCGCTCCCTTGCGAGGTCCTACGGGCAACGCTCCTAGCAGGGTTCCAAAGGAATGAGTCATGAGTCATCATATGGTGTTCGGCATCAGGTATCAACTGTCACTAAAGGATCTTCATCTGTTGTTGAAAGTGAACTTTCATTAGGGGTGTCAAAGAGTAACCCAACCCGCAAACTCTATCTGAACCCAAAATTAACAGGTTGGGTTGAGATTTTCGACACATTTAAGTAAATGGGTCAACCCGTCTAACCCATTTAAATAAATGGGTTAGATGATATGAATTTTTCGACATGTTTACAACCCGTTTTTAACTCATTTAAAATATTATATTATTTTAATTTTAATTGTAATATCTAATATTATCCATCAAACAATGAAAACCCTCTCGTTTTGTCAACTGTGAAACCCTAATAAAGTAATATTCTACCCGTCCGTCTCCAAGTTTCCCTCTTGGCTCTCTCTCGTCTTCCTCCAAATCCCCAACAGACTAACACAACAGTCAATAGTTTCCCTTTCCGGTCTCCACATCTCGTCTCTCTCTCGTCGAACACACAAATTTCGATCGATGCGGTTGTACGAAATCGGTGGAACTCACTGATTTCTTCTCACTGTTCTGGTGTTAATCAGAAATATTAACTAGTTCTTTATTCATTCCCTTTTTTATATGTTTCTTTTATAATGTGATCCATTCATCCGTTTTCACCTCTTTTGTTTTGATATAATGTTTCTTGATATGTTTCTTTTATGATAGTAACCAGTACGTTCATTGCGATGTTTCTTTTTTGATATGCTTCTTTTACAGTAACCACCTCTTTTTATTTTCGTTTCCACCTCTATTACTATATTGGGTTCTATATTCATTGATTAATATTTAATAGTAACTACTTCATTTTGGGAAATAAATATGAAACTGTTCATAACATTTGTGTTCTATTTCAGTGATTAATAGTAATACGGTTGGAATTTCGGAAGAAGATGATTTACAGTCTCCTCCACCCCCATCAAAGAACAATGGGAATAAATTAATTAACTAATTAAAGCAAAACAAATCTGGTATGGATTTTAAACGTCAAAGAAAACTTACATCAAAAGGAAAGTAACACCGAGAGTTAAATTGAAGTTGGTGAAAGTGGAAGTCGAGCTACTTAGAAATGAAAGGTTTCCAATTTATTTTGAATAACGTATTTGTTGTGGTTGTGTTTTATTCAAACTTTTGAACAATTTATTTGTATTTGTGATTATAGTTGTGTTTTATTCATAAAATTAAAAAGTCTAATAATTTTTATTTTATTTAGATTTTTAAAATTAAATGAGTCAACTCATGTTCAACCAATTTATTTAACATGTTAGATTGAGAAAATCATAAAAAAGGTCAACCCGCTGTCAATCCATTTAGATAACAAGTTGGGTTAAGTTGAAAAAACTCAACCCATTTAATTAAATGGGTTGGACTAGGTTGAGATTTTCAATATGTTTAATAAACGGGTTGAACCCGAACCCAACCCAACATGATCCATTGTCACCCTTAACTTTCAGCTTATTGTTGAATGCCACTTAGAGCTGAACACGACCTATCGTTGAATGTGTGTTCAGTGATGACTGCCGGTCGATTGAATCTTGAGTCTAGATCCGATTGTATCTGCTTTTCAACCTTATCCATTAACTGTTACAACCTCTTAACCGTCGTAACTGTCAATCTCTTTCATAGATACATAATTTTGTGATTTAAATACTATATATACAAAATTACTGCCTTATTTCGAGCATGTTTTTTCTAGATTATCCCAGTACTGATTTCGTGGAAGTCCAAAGCATGATAGGGACAAAATACAATATTTGGAAAGTGATTTCCAAATAGGATCTAGAAAATTATCCTACTAATATTAATCATAAAAGCCAATTTCCAATCATTTTGTCTTATCCAATGTACCAAACGTATCCTTAAAGAGTTAGAAGCAAATAAAAGTTCACTCTAAAGTAACTTTAAAGGGTGTCCATATACTTATATTTTAAAAACTTGAGGATAAGTATGACCAAATTTTCATGCTTGAAAGGGGATATATACTGATTAATCCGATTAGGTGAGGGGGTATGCCCACAAAACAAAAGTACAAAATTACATCAACGAAACGGAGCAGCAACTGGATCCAATTGCGACGTGCAATCCGCAAATCCCCGATTAAACTCCTAATTTTGCTGCTTTACAAAACTTGCAATTAGGGTTCTTTCACAACCAAATCTAGTTCACGACTTTACACAACAGTTTTCGATTCCAACAGATATAATGAACGGCGAAGTTTGTCAACTGAAAGAACTGGTAATTTGTATGCATTTGCTTAACGAGGATTCATACTGTATGCTGGAATCTAGTATTCAATAAATACACATGACTTCACTGTAATTATGGATAATTGGCACGGATAACTGAAGATTACGTCGCATATTTTGTTGATTGTTCATCATTAACTTAACTTCCATTTCTTGTACTTTCCTTATTTTTTTTTTAATTTCCATTTGCAGGATGTGGAGTACTTTGAGATACGGGAAGTTCTTCGATGTAAGTTGTTTGGGTAGATTAGATCTCCTTATTTCCCCAATTTATTCATATTTAATTTAAGGGTCTACCGTCCTTGTATCTCGGTGGTTAAAGTACGACTAGCCAGGCAATTAATTAATTCTAGGGTTAAAAGTATAATTCGATATGTTGTGGTATGCCTATCACTTAGAATTTAGATGATCGTTTCTTCCCGATCTAGTTTTACACCCCCAACGTCTCTTACTGGTCTACCGTAGTTCAAATTGCAGTCATCTTGGTGAATATGCGATAGTTTCAGGCTGGCTTTTTGTTGATTTTAAGGGTAGAAGTTGGAACATATTTGGGCCATCGTTTAAATATTGCACCGGTAAACATAACATACTCCCATTTTGTAGCAGAATCGATTACAATTAGGATGTCCTTAAAAGGTGCACTTTTGAACTTCAAAAGATTTAAAATTAGCATGTCTTTGTGTTTGGAGTTGCTTTTGAAATTGGAAGCCTGATAATTTGTGTGCTTGGACAATCCCGTTCCTGAATGTAGTGAACTGCTGATGTTTGTTGACAACATGGCACCCTATTGCTTTGTGTGTGTATGTTGTTTAGTGCCTCTTGTAATCATATTGTGAGAATATGTGGAACTCTCCACAAAGAGCCCTTGGGGGGAGAAGTGATGTTCCAACATATATCGAGTAGAAATGTTACAAGTTTAGCCGATGAGGGACTCTGACACGGCCCCTCCAACGGAGGTTAGATGGGCACAGATTGTCCCAAAGTGTTGAGAGGGGGCTAGACGAGTATAGATTGCACCATAGTGTCGAGTCCCTTGTGTGGTGGACCTTGGCTGTGATACGATGTGAGAATGTGGAACCCCTTGATTTACTCTCCAAAAGAGCCCTTGAGGAGAGAATTGAGGTTCCAACATATCTTGAGTAGAAATGGTCCTAGTCTAGCCTATTTGGGAAATCAAACGTCCATGATAAGGATTATGTTTGGATAATTGTTAGCTAATTGTCAACTTTACATACATGTTTCTAAATATATTTTTCTTATGACTAGCAGCATTTATCTTTATAGTTTCTTATTGAGAAATAATTGTCTTGGTGTGTATCATTTTAATTTATGTTTTTTTTTCTTCTTCATGAGTTCTTCATCTTGATATAAGTCTTATAGCTCTATACACACTCCTTTGCAATCGAGCCGGCAATAACACTCATAACACATAGTTAGTCGTATGACTAAATGCTTGCAGGCATCCTGCACACAATTTTCTTTCACAGAGCTCTAGGTCTGGTGCGGCCCAAAGACATTGATTTGGAACTATTTGAAATCACATATGTAAGTGATGTCTACATCCTTGGATGATACATATGTCATTTTGCCTTAAAAAAGTATAATCATTTAGATGAATATATATTACATTTGTAGATTATTTTATTGTGTAATACCTCTAGCATACACACCATTGTCGCTTGGCGCTGAGGAAGATCGCTGAAAACAGCTACATGTATGTAGATCTGAATATGATGCTAATGTTCTTGTAAGCTTCTTATATTGTGAGCTTTGGCCATAAAGATGGGTGATTTTCGCCATCCAAATCTGAACCAACCAACTAATCATCCCAGTCCAACTTATTTGTTACAAAATCTGTTATCTCTTGTACTAATAGATGCTAATATGTGCTAATATTCTTATACCTGTTAGTTGCTAGAATATGTTGAGGAAGGTCAACATTCCTGTTGACGAATGACATATATGGGCATCAGAGGACTTGAAATCTGTTATTTACCTTGTGAAAGCATCACTTGCATATTTTTGAACCATCATCTTTTGTGTAGTTTGATATCTCAAAAGCCATTTGGTCAGAATATTACTTTTTCTTCATTGATTTATTACGTTGTGCTTGTTCCATTTTGTAAAATGAGGATATCATGTTCATTTGTTACTTCATCCATGAATATTTGCAAGCACGTCATTTAATGTTATATTTAAGGATCCATATTAGTTACTGCTGGATGCTTCTCTGTCTAGGTGCAATGTGGCGATGCAGAGCTTGAGAAGAAAGTAGATGAGAAGATTGATCAGTTTATTGATAAGGTAGAGAAACATCCAAACAAGAAAAACCAGGTAAAAAGTGCCTCTCACCTGCTGGTTTACATGTCATGCTTAGTAGTGATCATAACATAATGTAAAGTGGTTCTACTTGCCGTTTAACTATGAGCTGCTCTTTCAAGAGTCCCCCCTGCTAAGGAGTTCTAAATATGAGCTTGTGTTACTTAAAAGAACTCACAAAAATGGTCATTGACATCCAAAATGTCAATCTTTTCTCCAAGTTATTGCAATATGAAAATCCATCAGACCTTAAGCTTCATTAAATGCCTTCAAGGAGATCATTTTAGCAAGAAAAAAGTAGTTTTGTTGTGTTGTTTGATCCAGGGGCTGACATACATACAAGGATACGGTGGCCCGTGGTTTCGTCTTAAGGGGGAAAATTACGTTTCTGAAGGGTGCCACCGTATTTGTTCGGTGCCACCATATAGTTTTTGAAACTGAAATGTTAGCGCAAGACTTTAAGGGCGGAGATGGTAATTGTCACTGCCTTTGTACAAAAGGCCTGGGTTCAGTCCCACTATTGACAAATTTGTTGTTTTAGCTTAAATTTTGGTGTTCTTTTATATACCTCTTGTGTTTTTAAAAATACATGTAGACAAGACTTGAACATGAAGAGAATTAAAACTCTACTTTACTGAGGAAAAACTCAATGATTTTATTCAAGCAACTTGGCCCTTTAAATAGAGCAGTAATAACAGCAAAGAAACAAKAATTATAAAACAGAAAAGTAGAATCCTAAACTATCTGCATAAAAATAGGTCCACGATGCAGTTGGTTTATTCAAAGCTATTCTCCTAAATATCAGGCACATTCCAGCTGAGTTTGAATGGGTTACTGCTGACCTATTCTCTCAACATCCTTCCCCAAACTGAGCTTGTAGCTGACAGCTCAGTTTGCTTCTTATTGTCTTGAACTCCGAGCATTCTTCGTATTTTGACGAAAGCTTCCAGCTTCAGTGGTTTTGTCATTATGTCAGCAATCTGATTTGTTGTTCCACAGTGAACCAGCTCGATCTCTCCTTCCTTAACCAATTCTCGAAGAAAATGGAATCTAACCTTGATGTGTTTCGTCCTCCCATGGAACACCGGATTCTTGGAAAGCTTAATTGAAGAGCTATTGTCACAATAAATTATCATGCTTTTAATCTGACCTTGATTGAGACTCTCTAATATTGCTTTCATCCAAATACTTTGGCAAGCGCAAGCAGATGCTGCCACATACTCGGCCTCTGTAGTTGAGAGAGTCACAATGGGCTGCTTTTTCGAGCTCCAAGCTACTGCTGCATTACTCAACATAAAAACATACCCAGATGTACTTCTAGCACCATCTGCGTCTCCAGCAAAATCGCTATCTGTAAAAGCCTTTAACTCCTCGTTGTTTCCTTTCTCATAGAACAACCCAAAGGTCGTTGTACCTTTGATGTATCTTAGTACCCGTTTAACAGCCATTAGGTGAGCTTCCCTTGGACTGGACATAAATCTGCTTAAGAAAGAAACGACAAACATCACATCCGGTCTCGTAGTTGTTAGGTACATTAGACTACCTATCAATTGTTTGTACATTGACKGATCAACTCGTGCTCCCCCTTCTTCCTTAGCTAACTTTGTTCCAGGTACCATAGGATTGTTTACTGGGTTGCAATTCTCCATTCCAAATCTTGCTACCACTTCATTGGCATACTTAGTTTGRCATATGAATATCCCCTTTTCTGTTTGCTGGACTTCAACTCCTAAGAAATAGTGCAGCCTTCCCAAATCTGTCATGTCGAAAACTCGATTCATGGAGGCTTTGAATCTGTCACATAAGGCAGAATCATTTCCCGTGAAAATCAAGTCATCGACGTATAAACTTACTACAAGAAAACGGCCTTCAGGTTCATGTTTGAAGAACAATGTATGTTCCTGGCTACTTTTGATGAAGCCTTCCTTGAGAAAATGCTCTTCGATTTTGCTGTACCAAGCCCTCGGTGCCTGCTTCAATCCGTATAAKGCCTTGTTCAGCTTGTAGACCTTGTCTTCTTCACCTCTTCGAACATAACCTTCAGGCTGCTCTACATAAACCGTCTCTCTCAAAACTCCATACAAGAATGCACTTTTGACGTCTAATTGAAAGACGTTCCAACCCTTTTGTGCARCCATTGCTAGTATCATTCGTATTGTATCCCACCTAGCCACAGGTGCRAATACCTCATCATAGTCCACACCGTATTTTTGTGCATAACCCTTAACTACCAACCTGGCTTTGTGTTTGTCAACCTCTCCTCTTTCATTTAATTTAGTCTTGTAGACCCATTTAACTCCTATCTTCTTCATTCCAGGAGGTAGGCTGACTAGTTCCCAAGTCCGGTTTTTCTCGATTGCTTCTATCTCGGCATCCATTGCTTTTTGCCACCGTTTTTCTTTGACAGCTTCAGAAAAATATATAGGATCCTCTTGAGACACATGAAAGGCCAAGTACTGCTCTGCTTCTTCATCAGAAAGCCCTTCTCCACTAACATAGTCTTGGAGATGTTTGGGTGCAACACGTCTTCTTTCTCCTTGAGTTTCAGTCGGCCTAGAAGTACTTGTTGCTGCTGTTTCTAAAGGGCTGAAATTTTCTGGGCTGAAATTTTCTGGTTCTGGGCTGAAATTTTCTGGTTCTGGACTGTCGTAATCTGGTTCAGGATTGCTGTTTTCAGGTTCTGGACTGTCGTAATCTGGTTCAGGATTGCTGTTTTCAGGTTCGGGATTGTCATCATTGGATTGCTTTGTGTTGTCAATTTCTTCTACCTCCTCTAACGTCAACAAATCGTTCCTTGCTGAACTCCTTCCCCAATCCCAACTGTGATCCTCATCAAAGATCACGTCTCTGCTTACGATAGTCCTTTTGTTCACCGGGTCATACATCTTGTATGCTTTGGATCTCTCGCTTATGCCGAGAAATATGCACATGTGGCTTTTTTCATCCAACTTTACTCTTTTTTGGTTCGGAATATGCACATGTCCTATGCATCCGAACACTTTAAAATACTCAACRTTAGGCTTCATATCACTCCAGCTTTCATGTGGAGTCCTAMCTTTCACGGCTGATGTAGGACTTCTGTTAAGTATATGTGCTGTCCACCGGGCTGCTTCACCCCAGAATTCTTTTGGCATTTTCTTCTCCCCAAGCAAACAACGAACCATATTCATAATAGTTCGATTTTTCCTCTCCGCCACTCCGTTTTGTTGGGGAGTGTAAGCTACGGTCAGCTGTCTTTTAATTCCATTGGCAGCACAATATTCATTGAATTCTTTGGAGTTGAACTCGCCACCTCGGTCACTTYTGAGACAAGTTATCTTCTTTCCGGCTTCATTCTCAACCAAGGTTTTGAAGTTTTTGAATACTCCAAATGTTTCATCTTTCTCATAAAGAAAATAAATCCACAATTTCCTGCTAAAATCATCAATAAACGTTAGTATGTACCTCTTCCCGTTTGTGGTGCAAGGTGTGATTGGTCCACACAAGTCTGTATGTACAAGTTGGAGTTTTTYTGTCGCTCTCCAATTGGTTGTTTTYGGGATGGGCTCCCTGTGTTGTTTTCCCTTTGCACACATCTCACATACGTTCGTCAGTTCTTTGATAGGAGACATCCCATTCACCATATTATTCTTAGATAAAAGCTGTAAATCATTTTGGTTCAAGTGACCAAACCGTTTATGCCAAAGAATAGAAACATCTTCGGTTGTAGTYTGTAGACATTCAGCTGGTAAATTTTCAGTCGGCACAATAAACATCCGGTTTGATGAAATGTGTAGATTCATTATGAGACCACAATCTTCATGGTAAATCTTACATCTTCCATCCTTGATTAGCATCGTCAGCCCTTTCTCTTGGAACTGCCCCATACTGAGTAAGTTTGTGGTCAGCTCTGGTACATAATAGACTTCAGTGATGATGTGGGTTCTACCTTGAACCGAAAGCTTTATATTTCCTTTCCCTTGCACCTGCATCCTTGTGCCATTCCCCAACTTTACAAAGTTCTTGAATCGATTGTCAAAATTCGTGAACCACCTCTTGTTACCTGTCATATGGTTAGAGCAACCGGAGTCTAAAAACCATACCTCTTTCTCCCGCATGGCTTCCTTTTCAGCGTTGGCCATAAGCAGAAGCTCTTCCGTTTCATCAAACTCGGCGTAATTGACATTCTTCTCCCAACTAGGACATTCACTCTGATAATGTCCTAGCTTGTGACATTTGAAACACTCGATCGTAGCTCTGCCATTAGTGAATCTTCCACGACCTCGACCACCTCGGAAGCTTCCTCGATAACTTCCTCGACCCCTGGTTCTCATGGCTGTTCCCGTGCCTCTTTCTTCTTCTGTCACCTTCAAGACTTGTTCTTCCTCAACATCGACCTTCATCCTCTGTTCATGGACTAAAAGACTGCTCTGCAGCTCATCCAAGGTAAGTGTATCCAAATTATTCGATTCTTCTATCGAACACACCACATAATTGAATTTACGAGTCATTGACCTTAGTATCTTCTCCGTGATTAGTTTCTCTTGAACGGCTTCTCCGCACGCCTTCATTTTCTTTGCTATTGCAAGGGTTCTTGCAAAATAGGTGTTAACCGACTCCCCTTCTTTCATATTTAGTGTCTCGAAATCCTTGCGTAAAGCTTGTAGTTGAGCTCGTTTCACTCTGGTTGACCCCTGGAACTTTTGCTTCATGCTGTCCCAAATCTGCTTACTTGTATCAGTATTAAGGATGGTATCGAGGATGTCTCTATCAATAGCCTGATACAAAAAGTTTTTCAGCTTCAAGTCCTTCAGAATCTGCTCATTTAACAGCTTTTGTTGTTCCTCGGTAGGCACTCTTCCTTCACCAGGATAGTTGATCCCAATCTCTATGAGATCCCAATACTCTCTTGATCGAATAAAATTCTCCATCAGCTTAGCCCAATGATCATAGTGCCCTTCGAATTTTGGTATGGCTGGTACCACAAATCCTTTGCCACCGTTGTTCTCCGCTGCCATTGGACCACCTTCCTTCCTGTTTTCTCAACAACCTCTGATTTCCTCACTCAAACAGGCCCCTTACGATGGAGCTCTGATACCAAATGAAGAGAATTAAAACTCTACTTTACTGAGGAAAAACTCAATGATTTTATTCAAGCAACTTGGCCCTTTAAATAGAGCAGTAATAACAGCAAAG